AAGATTTCTGTTATTTGTCATCTATATTTGTTTGATCAGCTTCCCATTCAGAATAGCTGCTTTGGCTTCGTGAAGGTTAAGTACCACAACATAACTATAGCTACTGCTACGATTTTTGCTGCTGCTACTATTATTACTGCTGCTGCTGCTCCAGTACTTGTCAGCTGGTCGTAGCAATGTAGTGTGCTCGAAGCCTGATGCCTGCTATATTTCTCACAGCTTTGGGGCTTTGTTACACCTAGTCTACTTACATAAGTCATTAATTGGTAGGAATTTATTCCTTTCTGTGTGGCTGTCCAATTCCATGGCTTCCGTTTTCATCAGAATGCCTCTTTTGCTTTCATGTTAAAATGCCCATTCAAAACAATTTTGCTCTTTTTCTCAATTACCCCAATTACCTGGATGTCATCTAGTCTCACCCTTTGAGCACATGAAGTGGTCCTCTACCAAATCAGACCATTGGTAAATCTTATTTAGTATGTTTCTTCTGGTTGGGAGTGGATCTTCAGAGTCTCGGGCTGAGAAACATCTTTCCAGCATGTGCCACCTGAAATTCTTTAACAGGAGATGCCAGGGATTGAACCAAGGACTCTCTGCATGCAAAGCATGCACTGTACTTCTGATCCATGGTTCCTCCAATAAGGTAGTGGTCTTCACCTAACAGATGTGTACCTCTAGCTAATTCATGACATACAAAAGTTAAAAAAGCATTGCTCTCTCCCAACAATAGCAAAGCAGTGATGAGTAAAACAGTATCTATTGAATTCTGTGCACCTTTCAGATGTTTAAACATATGGATTTGTTGGGGGGAAAGGTAGCAACCTTATAATCACCACTCTTAAAAAGTCTGCTTAAGGTCCAGATACATTCTATTTTTGATTGTGCATCTGGAATCTCTGCAAATGGTGGTCATGTAGCTGAGTGTACAAATTAATCTGGGAATGATCCACTGTCATCTCCTTCCACCAGGTCTAAAACTAGGAAGTTTATCCTGAAGGGACAAAAGGTACACTGTGGGTGGGAGAGATCAATGCAGAACATCCATAACTGACAAACATTTCAACCTTAACGCCTTTGCAGTCATTGGCCACAACACTGGAAGGTGATGACTGGCTTTTTTCTTACTAATCAAATAGAATCCTTCCTGACTACAGGGGTGTAAACTACAAGGGGGCAGTGGGTCTCACCTCCTCCCCCAGATTTCCCATAGGGGCAATGCCCCCCAGGCTGCCAGGAAGCATCATGAAGCTGCTTAGGCTTAAACTATGCAGTCTCACGCTCTGCACTCTCATAGAGGCTGCCAACCCTGCGTTCTTTCTCTGGGACTTTGGGACATTTCTTGCCACAAAGGAACACCTCTCCACTGCCTTATTTCACACACACCCCTTGGGATCTTTGGAAGTTCTGTCTAAAGCCCCTACTTTCATCCTGTGGATCATCAAAGCAGACAATGTACTAGAAGTTAATGTGATTTTGGTGTCCTGGGACTTGCAGCTTTAGCAAAAAAGAAATGGAGGGGATGGGAATATTTTTGTCTTTAGCTTTCCACTCCATCTGCTTCTCCTATCTGTTTTGCCCTTCTCTCCCCTGCCCACGAAATGGCCAGCAATCTGAAATGGGACCAATTAGTATATGCCATCTACTTGCTTGAAATATGTTATTAATGTTTTAATTATTTTATCGATGTTTTTATGAATGATATATATTGCCAGAGCCCTACATTGCATGGATTAGGCAATAGACAAATTAAATAAATAAATAAATAAGTGTGTTGGGGGGCAGAGGCCTGTGGCTTAAATACTGGAAGTTAAAGTGATTTTGGTATCCTGATACAGTTTTAGAGAAAGAGAAATGAAAGACATGGGAATAATCTTTTTTTTTTTTTTGCCTCTGTGCATCTGTACATGGGGGGGGGGGGAGATAAAGCTGGTTCACCAAATATAGAAAGTGATACAATTCTGCTGTTCCAGGCCCTACTTCAACCAAACAAATGCTTCCATAATTTCAGGTCAGAATATCTGAGAAGCCAGTCTTTACTGTGGGTTTACTGTGGATTCTGAGATGCATTTGGAGATTCATATTTGAGTATCCAATATTAGGGTTGCCAGCCTCCAGGTGGGGCCTGGGGATCTCCCGCTTTTACAACTGATCTCCAGCTGACAGAGATCAGCTCCCCTGGAGAAAATGGCTGCTTTGGAAGGGTGGTCTCCATGGCATTGTACCATGCTGAGGCCCCTCCCCTCCCTAAACCCCGCTTTCTCCTGGATCCGCCCCCAAAGTCCCCAGGTATTTTCCAACCCAGACCTGGCAACCCTATCCAGTATACAAGTGGTGTAGTTGTTAAAGTGTTGGTCTAAGATTGGGGAGACCACAGTTCAAATCCCCATTTAGCCACCAAGCACATTATGAGACCTTGGTCCGGTCACATATTATCAGCCTAACCTACTTTATTGGATGGTTGTAAGGAAAAGAGAGCTGGGAAGGAAATATTTCCTTTCATACATGAATGAAATATTTATTCAAATTGTCTCAGTGAAGGAGTTGATGACATAGTCCTCTTTCTTTGACTCTGATTGAGACTATTAAGAGTGACAAATTTTTTTTTTAAATCACGTGATTAATTGTTGATGGCATAAGTCAGTGGTGTCAAACTCATTTGTTATGAGAGCCGCACCTGACACAAATGTCACTTTGTTGGGTCGGGCCATGTGTGCCATAAAATGTAACGCCAGATACTGGAGACACAAACTGTATGAAGAACAGCAGCTGGTAAGCTCTGAGTTGGTGTATCTGCACTACAAGGCCCCATGAGTTGGGAGTGGGGTGCAGAGGAAAACCCACATAGGTGGACTGGAGAGGCAGCAGTGCAGCCCTGGGCAGAGATGCTCCCACGATGCTTGGCTGCTGCAGATGAGGTTGTTCTGCCATGCTGAAGCCACAATGGAATGGCTCCGCTCACTCCCCCCAGTACTCCCTCTCTTGCACCAATTGCTTGCGGGCCACATAAGAGCCCTGGATGGGCCAGTTCCAGCCCCCTGATGTTTGACATCCCTGGCATAACTGTTTTGGAAATATGAATAAATTCATATTTAAACAATTTAATATAGATTAATAAATGTGGGCCTGGACCAGATAACCCCCATCCCTGGGAGATAGAGACGCTTATGCCCCTGACTAAGTACATGGCTTTTTCACAAGTTAAAGGGCTAGAGTTTTTTGGGTTTTTTTAAATCTGAACATTTAGGAAAGGAGCTTGGAATCTGAGACCTTTCTATGAATACTGCCCAGCCTTATTCACAATCATTTCAGCATTGTTGGAATGGTTGAGAGCTTAGTAATTAGTAGTAATACAAACCAAGGGAACTGAACAGCTTTTTGGAGTAGACTGACATTGCTTAGGGGGTACAGTGACATGAGGACTGGGAAGTTCAGAATGGGTACTGTAACAGAGGTTAAAAAATATGTTGTAGAGGTTTCATAAAATACATTTGTTGGAGAATTTCACCGTTTCTCATCTTAAAGCTATCTTCGTATACTTGTTGAGGTAAGTTTCATCTCCGTTCTTGCATGTTTTGGTGAAGGATGATGACAGGGATGCTATTAAAGTAGGATTCACAGCAGGTCCTTCAGCTTTGTTATTAGTTGGAGTCTTTCTGACTTCACCGCCTGACTGACGGACATGCATGCTACGAATCAAACACTGACACAGCTGTCAGCTCTGCCTATCTCGCCGCAGGCTTGATGTTTGCCTTTTATTTTTAAAAGTGATACATGGGTTCATTTGTCACCTTATTAATTCCATTCTTTTCAAAGTACAAAATTAGGGATTGCATTTGAGTGTTTCTTGGTGACAGCACAGGAATGAGTTGACTAGAGCGATATACAAGAGACATCTCCTGTAGACTTGCAGAACCCTCTTTTTCAGACATTGACCCTGGAGAGTGGAGGAATTTGGGGACTGCAGTCACTTGCAAATCAGTCACTGTGAAAATGCTACTCCTGTCTTTACCTTAAGCTTGGCCTTATTGCTGAAATACCTTACGTGTGGACAGAAGTTCTACCATCACTTCTAAACTCTGGATAATTCCTTTCTTTCAACAGTTGTATGAACAAGCAGACTCGGAGTGGAGCTACCCTGCTGTACCTTGCCTGTCAGGAGGGCCATCTTCATATCGTCCAGTTCCTGGTGAAGGACTGTGCAGCTAATGTGCACTTGAGAGCACATGATGGCATGACGGTGCTGCATGCAGCTGCCAGTAGTGGCCACTATGCTGTTGTCATCTGGCTGGTAAACATGCAGTTATTTTAAATTGCAAGCAAGGTTTCTTGCCGATTGCAGGAGTATACTACTCTAAATTATTTGTCTCTTAATCTGCAATCTGAGGTAAAGTACAAAACCGTTAAATATACTTTGCATAACATATTCTATGTACATAGTTTATTTTTGAGGGGCACTTTCAAAAGATCTCTAAACGAACCATCCTGTCTGCTCCCTGAGCTGCCAGCTTCCCTGCCCAAGCCTGCCTATCCCCTGTCCCTCTAAGCAGAAAAAGGGGAAAACAAAAGGGAAGAAATGTCCTTCTGAAATATGGTGATATTGCTGGTGCACAATATTGGAAGATGTTTGGAGCATTTTCTCCGGTGTCACACCAACGAAGGCTTTCACTCAGGCTGGTCAGATTTTTCCCAGTCATGTGGCCCCGTTTCCCCAATTTTGCTCGAGTCTATGCTCCCCTTTCTCCTGCTCCCTCCCAATGACTGCGTCCAACAGGTCATAGCTTAAAAATCTCATAGAGAAATAACTACTGCCATTTTGTCTTGGGGTTATTATTTCTTTTAAAAATAATATTATTAAGAAATGCAAAAAAAAAGAAGAATGACCTATTCCAGGAGACAGCTTGATGGCCTGAGGCAGATTGTGTCAGAGTAGTTTGGTTCTGGTGCTGGAGCCTTTGATTTGTACGCCTAGTCCCAGCCACAGCTCTCTGCTGCCTGTAGTATAATATGCAGCTACCGTATGTAAGAAACAAATTCCTAAGACTGAATTTCAGCTGTGTTCCTGTTTTCCCACTCTCTGGCCACACAAAAAAAAAACCACAAAAAAAACTTTTTACCACTTTTGAGAAAAGCCAAAGAACTGGACACTCAGCATCCAAGTCAGTGGATCACGTAAGTTGAAAGCTCTTTGGTCTTTTTAGGATCAGGCTTTTCATTGTGAGAAACTTTGTTCTTCCTTTGGCTGTACCTCACTTGTGATTGATGGGTCATATGAAGACCTATTTTCACTACTTTTCCTGTACGGTGGTGGTGGGGGGGGTCAGTGCATGTTGTCTTCTAGCCTTTCCCAATGCATGAATTGGTTGAGGACACCTGATTCTGTGCCATAAAATAAATTCACCAGGCGTACATTTCAGCATACTCTGGTTTTCCTTTTGGCTACCACATGCTGAAATAATCATGAGAACAGAGCCTTCATCCATTCATCAAGACTACAAGCTAGAATTTTTGCATACCACCACAAACCTACTACAAGTGCAGAATTGCATCTTGGTCTTATGGCAGGTGATTTAGGTACTCCATCACTGAGGATGGACAAAGGTAGATGGATAGAAAGGGTTTGCTGAAAACCAGCACTTGTACAAATGTCGGCTGCAGCAGCCAGTGAATGAAAGGATAATCACTATCATTTATAGATCATGTGCAATGTTTAAAGTATTTCACATACATTATCTTGTAATCAGTGTCCCCTCTACGCAGTGTGTGTGGCGGCTGCTCATTAACACAGGAAGCCCTGCTCAGCAGCAAACTGGAGCTGCATAGGGTCTTGCATTGCCCATTGGCCATTTTAAGATTACAGCAGTTATATTCTGCTCAGGATGTGCTCTGCTCAGTAGTATGGGGGGGAAAACAGAGGGAACATTGGTTGTAATCCTTACAATAATAATGTAAAGTAGGCTACTATTATTGTCTCCTCTGCTGAGGCAAAGCTGCCTGTCTAAGGCCATCGAGACAGTTTGTGGCAAAGAAAGATTTGAGCGGGAAACCTTCCAGTTCAAAACTCGTTCTCTTAGCTGTTACATCACACCTGTTCCTGTCATACAGTCCTCACAGACAGTCCTCATGAACCATCCCTTTTCTTTTGTGTAGGCAACTTTCACTGACATCAACCTCGGAGCCCAGGACGAGGAAGGAGCCACTGCACTCCATTTTGCTGCCAGAGAAGGCCACACAACCATTGTGGACAGGCTGTTCCTTATGGGAGCTGAAGTGGTGCTAGACCACTGGGGAGGAACCCCTCTCCATGATGCAGCAGAGAATGGGCAGCTGAAGGTATGTTGTGATACCATGTAGAGACCATGAGTCTAGTGAGGAAACAAAGGGATGGTTAGAGCTCGGTTAGTGACTGCAGAAGACCACCCCTGTGGTCAGATTCTAGAGTAGGCGAAACCTAGTGATTTGAATAATCTGATCCTGTGTTCTGTGTTCATATCAATGGAATAACCATACCTGAGGTTCCAAGTAAGAAAGGGATTTTAAGAAGGACAGAGTAGACATATGTCCAGGCATATAATTGTGTCCACATATAAAAGCAATCTTGTAGGTGGAGGCTATCCCACCACACTATTCCATTGTCTTAGCATTCATTGTACAACAAGCAAGATAATGAGCTTTCTCTTTTGAAAATCCAGATATGTGTAACATGTTTCTTCAGCCCATAACATGCTTTTTTGGGGGGCGGTTGACATAATCACTGGGGGTCTCCTATTCCCCCACCTTTTGAATCGCAGCAGATGTCTGCTGGGAATCTTGCTTTTTCTGTGGTCAAACATCAAAGATGTTTCCATGGTATCGCCTTTGCTGCCTTTTAGTTAGCAAGTGAATTCTTACCTGGTGTATAGATGTAGCAGAATGGGGTGGTAGAATGTTCCTGTACCACTTCTGCTTGGAGGTGGGGAGAATCACTTTTTTTACAGCTTCCTCGTGTGAAAACTCCCTGCAAATAAGTAATTACTACATCAGAGGTTCTAGCCTAGCTTTTGGTATGCTGTGCTAATTTTTTTTTATCTTACAGAGAATTATTAATGTAGAGGAACTGATACTTGTAACTACTACAAAATGGCCTGTCTTATTTTCAGTGCTGCCAAATGCTTATCTCCCACCAAGTAGATCCTGGCATACATGATAGGGACGGTTACACTGCACGAGACCTGGCAGAATACAATGGACACCGGCAATGTGCACGTTATCTGCAAGAGGTGGAGAAGATGGTAATTGAAATACTGTTTCTCTCTCTCTCTCTCTCTCTCACACACACACACACAGAGAGAGAGAGAGAGAGAGAGAGAGAGAGAGAGAGAGAGAGAGAGAGAGAGAGAGAGAGAGAGAGAGAGAGAGAGAGAGAGAGAGAGAGAGAGAGAGAGAGAGAGAGAGAGAGAGAGAGAGAGAGAGAGAGAGAGAGAGAGAGAGAGAGAGAGAGAGAGAGAGAGAGAGAGAGTTTGTCTTGCATTGTGAGACCCTGGAAATGCAGATCAGGCTTCTACTTTGTAGGCTATCTCTGCAGATAGGATGTGAATATGAGAGAGAAGATTATCATGTCGTGAGACATGTTTGTTGTATCCCTTTTGAAAATGTAGTTTCAGCCAGAAGCATATTTAAAACAAGGTAACAATGATTTAAATCCTGTGATCCATGGGTGAAAAGACTGCAGGATCCCCCCACCCCTTTCCTCCTTCCTGGAGCCCTTTACAACCCAGGGAAAGAACAAAGTTTGAGTCCAGTGGCACCTTTAAGACCAACAAAGTTTAATTCTGGGTATAAGCTTTATTCCTGTGATCAATGGAACTCTATGATCTAATAGCCATATTATTTACTATTTATTTTATTTAATTATGCTATTCCGACAGGGGCTCAAGGAGGATTACACAAAGTTAGTTAGTACACTCAACAAAATGGGACATTCAGTAACAAGTCCATTAGGATTTTAGAGGTCTGGAAACACCAGAAGGAACTAAAGCATAGCATAAGTTTTAGCATGACACCTTAAGCAGTACAAAGATTACATAATAGGATCCTACTTACAGTAAGTTATACAGAGCAGTACCGACCACAGTCTCTAATTGTGCCTGTGAATGAGAGTGGGCGCTTTCCCTGGCCTCCTTGGGCAGGCCATTGCATAAGGTGGGAGCCACAGTGGAGAAAGCACAGATCCAGGCAGTCGTATTGATCAGATGGCTTCAGTGAAGAGGGAGGACAAAGCAAAATTACTTTTTTCACCTTCCTACTGCAGCCACCCAACTCAGAGGCCGTTGTCCACACGGGTCCCTCATCTCAAGGAACAGACTTTCTCAGGGAGGGGAAGGGAGGAAAGATCCCACTTTCCTGTGTCTTCCTCTTGCCATTCATGGGACCCTGCCCAGTACTTGCCATTGTTATTGGGTATTACAAATATGTTGCCATTCAGAAATTTGAAGTGTCGATAAAACCCACCTTTAAGACTAGATAATTTTATTAACAAAGCATAAACTTTTGCAGGCTATGGCCAATTTAAATATCAAAACAGTAACCACTGGCAACAAGCAAAACTTGAAGAGAACTGTGCGGGTCCATTAACTGCCCCCCAAGTCCCCCAAATTGTTTAAAGATTTATAATGTATTAGTTGGTTGTAATAAAAGGTGTGACATGACATAGAATCATAGAATGTTAGAGCTGGAAGGGACCTTGCAGGTCATCTCGTCCAACCCCCTGCACTCTGCACAAAAGATAGCCCTACAACATACCCGAAAGATGGTTATCCAGCCTCCTCTTGAAAACGTCCAATGAAGGAGCATCCACCACCTCCTGAGGCAGTCTGTTCCACTGCTCAACCACTCTTACAGTTAGAAAGTTTCTCCTGATATTTAGCCAGTAACAACTCCCTTGTAATTTCCATCCATTAGATCTAGGCTGATTTCGCAATAGAGCTGCCTCGATGTTGCGCCACCATTTGCCCCGATACTATTGGTCAATTTCACACCCGATGCTGCGGGGCTGCATTTGACCCGCGGCTTCGCCCAATTTCCTCCGAAGTTTCGTGATCCTCAAAAAACAGGATCACGAAACTGCGTGGGAAATCGGGCGAAGCTGTGGGTCAAAATGCAGCCCCACGGCTTCGGGTGTGAAATTGACCAATAGTATCGGGGCAAATGGTGGCGCAACATCGAGGCAGCTCTATTGCGAAATCAGCCTAGATCTAATGGATGGAAATTACAAGGGAGTTGTTACTGGCTAAATATCAGGAGAAACTTTCTAACTGTAAGTGTTGTTGAGCATCACACCCAATTCTTTCAGCCTTTCCTCATAAGACTTGGATTCCAACCCTCTCACCATTCTGGTTGCCCTTCTGGACACGCTCGAGCTTGTCAACATCCTTCCTAAAATGTAATGCCCAAAACTGGATACAGTACTCCAGGTGAGGCCTGACCATAGCAGAATAGAGTGGAACTACCACCTCCCGTGATCTGGACACAATGCTTTTGTTAATGCATCCTAAGATTGCATTAGCTTTCTTTGCAGTCACATTGCACTGCAGGCTCATGTTTAGCTTGTGATCAAT